CTATGGGGGGCTGGATTTGACCCCAGCTGCAGTTCGGTCGCTGGGAAGGGAAGCAGGAATCCCAGCGCTCAGCCAAAACCTGGTTGTATTTCACGTGGTGACGAGCATCTGTGTCCCTCCCCAGGGCTGGTGGTCCTCCAGCCTAGAGCTGCCCTCCTCTCGGGCCACTGGGTGCCACCGGGGCTGTTTGCCGGAGTCTTCCTTTCTCTCCGGCAGGCTGAACACCACCGTCGCGCCTCTCTTCTTCGCAGACCAGTTCCTGCAGATCTCCACCTCCTTGCCCTCCCATTTCATTTCTGGGTTGGGAGAGCACCTGACGCCACTGGTCCTTGACACAGCGTGGACCAGGGTCACGCTCTGGAATCGGGACATGGCGCCCGTGGTACGGAGCGGAGCTGAGGGAAACGGAGACGGCTCAGCTGCGCTTGCAGGGGTGGCCCCGTGGCCTCTTACATCTTGTTTGGGGCTGGGGAAAGGCATCCATGCTGGTTGAGCTCTGGGTCCTGGCTTCAGCCCTGGGCAAGCCCATGGGACAGTCATCCCCAGGTGGGGCTTTGTTCCCTCCTGGGGCTCGGCGCTGCTTGGGAGCCACTTTCCACCCAGCGGTCCAGGGCTCTTGCTCGGGGCAGAGTTCTGCTGACTCGGGTGGTGTTTGGGGCGGCAAGCCCTGGGTTTGCACCCCAAGCCGTGATGGTGCTTCTGGCTAGCGGTGAGGCGCAGGCGGGTGGCTGCGTGGGTGCTGTGCCCGGCTCTCTGGCAGAGCCTTGCCGGCACTGCACTGTGCTCTGCTCCAGCCCCAGGTCAACCTCTATGGCTCCCACCCTTTCTACCTGGTGATGGAGGATGGCGGTTTGGCACATGGTGTCTTTCTGCTGAACAGCAACGCGATGGGTGAGTCCCATGGAGACGCTGGGCATGGGCTTGGCCCTCGTCCCCATCCTCAGCTTTTTTCTCTGGCGCTTGCGCTTCCCCAGACGTGCTCCTGCAGCCCAGCCCGGCCCTCACTTGGCGCACGACGGGCGGGATCCTGGACTTCTACGTCTTCCTGGGCCCTGATCCCAAGAGTGTGGTGCGGCAGTACCTGGACATTGTCGGTAGGGCCGAGCCATGAGTGGGGGGCACAGGAGGTCCTGGGATGGCTTTGCCGGGGTGCTGCGAGTGAGGCCAGCATGGTGGAGCGGGGCTGTGGGGGCCATCCCTGCGCCCGCCTGGCCCGCACCCACCCTCCTGGCTTTCAGGGTTCCCCTTCATGCCTCCCTACTGGGGCCTGGGCTTCCACCTCTGCCGCTGGGGCTACTCCTCCACTGACATCACCCGGCAGGTCGTGGCCAACATGACGGCAGCCCGCTTCCCCCTGGTAGGTCTCGGCTGTTCCAAAAGCTGAGCCTCTGCCCAAAAGAATCTGGGGGGGGCTGATGGGGAGCCCCCGTGGGGTGGGGGCCTGGCAGCAGTGTGCGGGGGCCCCCGCTCCTCCTCGAGCACCGGTGCCACCGTCCGCAGGACGTGCAGTGGAATGACCTCGATTACATGGATGCCAAGAGGGATTTCACCTTCAACAAGAAGGGCTTTAAGGACTATCCAGAGATGGTGCAGGACTTCCACCGCCGCGGGCTGAGGTACATCATGATTGTGGTGAGTGACACCTCTGGCCGTGCCAGCGCTCCTCACGGGTGGGCTGGCACTGGGGTTTCTGGCTGCCCCCAAGGGCGGTGATGGAGCTTCCTCCGAGGGAGGCGGGGGAGGCTGTTCCCTGTCCTTGCTGGTGAAGCCCCGGCATTGTGCCCCACCAGGATCCTGGGATCAGCAGCTCGGGGCCTCCTGGCACCTACAAGCCCTTTGACGAGGGACTGAAGCGAGGGGTGTTCATCCGAAACGCCACGGGGCAGCCCCTGATTGGGAAGGTGCGTGTGGGGAGTGGCCCTGGTCCCTGTGGGAGGGACCTTGAGTGGGGCTGTGGGAGCAGGACCCTGAGAGCCAGAGGGAAATACCCAGGAGATGGCCGTGGTGGAAGGTGGGGTGGCATGTGGGGATGGTGAGGCGTTGTCCGTTGCTGCCTCGCTCCTGCAGGTGTGGCCGGGCCCAACAGCCTTCCCGGACTTCACCAACCCTGAGACTCACGAGTGGTGGCATGACATGGTGAAGGACTTCCACGACCAAGTGCCCTTTGATGGCATGTGGATTGTGAGTGGCCCCAGCAGAGCTGCCAGCTGCGCTCCCCAGCTCCCGCCCTGCACCTCTGCCAGGCCCCGGTGTGGCAGCGAGGGCATTCCCTCCTTTCCCTCCTCTTCCCTTCCCTCCCCAGGACATGAACGAGCCCTCGAACTTTGTGGAGGGCTCCCAGGACGGCTGCCCCAACAACAGCCTGGAGCAGCCCCCCTACGTGCCAGGTGTGGGGAGTGGGTACCAACCCCTGCGCGGGGCTGCGGGGAGCCCCGGGAGGAGCCTGGGGATGCTCCGGTCCCGCTGAGTGGGCTCTGAGCCCTCCCTTGCCACTGCCTGTGCCGTGCAGGTGTGTTTGGGGGACGCCTCCAAGCCGGGACCATCTGTGCCTCCAGCCAGCAGTACCTGTCCTCCCACTACAACCTGCACAGCCTGTACGGGCTGACCGAGGCCATCGCCTCCCACGAGTAAGCCTGGGGCTCGTGCCACAGCTCCTGTGGGGGAAGGGTCTCCCCGCCGCCGAAGCTGTTCCGGGGCTCGTGCCCCAGCTCCTGTGGGGAAAGTGTCTCCCGACAGCAGATGCTGTCCTGGAGCCCGGAGGAGCTGACACATCCCAGGGTGTGCTGGAGCTGGGAGAGAGACCCCTCCCTGCACGGTGGCCTGGGCATGTTGGGCATTTGGTGCGTGGGCGAGGGTTTGGTTTATAATGCAGTGTGCTTCCTGCTGCTGCCAGCACGGTGCTGGAGTGGGCTGGAGCTGGTGCAGTGCGGCCGTGCTGGCTCCTGCGCTGGGAGATTGTGTCCTGAGCACTGTCCCGTGTCACCTGTCCCATGGGTGAGATGGCACTGGGAGTCTGCCCTGGCATGTGCCAGCTCTGCACTGCTGCCAGGATCTGCTGGTGGGGGGCTGAACCCCCTTCCCGGCTGGGTGGTGCTGAGCTGACCTTGTCCTGCCTGCAGTGCACTGCTGAGGGTCCGGGGCAAGCGCCCCTTCGTCATCTCACGCTCCACGTTTGCTGGGCACGGGCGCTACGCAGGGCACTGGACAGGGGATGTAAGCAGCGACTGGGAGCAGCTGTATTACTCCATACCAGGTAGGCTGTGGGGTGCTGGGGCTGCATCTTCTCCCCCTCCTTCCCCCCTGTGCCTCCCCCGCAGCTGGGGTCTTCCCTGTGGGCTCCGTGCCCCTGGCACCGCGGAGCC